TACAAGTTTGAAGTAGTGGCCGAATTTCCATCTCTCAAATGATGATGTTTCCATTCTGTCGCCTCTACTCTCCTTCCTCGTCTTCTTCGTCTTTTGTGCATCTTCTGCTCCTGCTCGAGTCACGTCCACACTATGGTCACGTCTACATGTCACGTGACGTGACGTGAGTGAGGTGAAACCATAAGGTCAAACGAGCGTTGCGTCAGCACGCATAGGGACGTTTGATTTGTGTTTTCGGTGCTCCCAAAGAAGGGAAGTAGCAAGATCATTTTTGATTCATAACTGTAATGTGATTACTGGCGTTATCAACAGTAATGCGTTACATTACTGCGTTACAGACAAACGTAATCTGATTACAGTAATGCGTTACTTTTAGTTTTCTTTTTAACTTTGTAACGCGTTACACCAACACTGGTCCTCACATACCAAGTATCGTCGTTATCACATCCACAGGCACCTGCCCTGACTAGTTGAGGTTGCTAAGCTACGATCGAACAATTAATGTTACTGTTCATCCACTGGTCATTTGCATTGTTTTATTTTCCTCAGGGGCCTCAAGGGCCTCAGGGAGGCCAAGGAGAAAGAGGACTTATAGGAGAAGGTCTGCCTGGTCCAAAGGTGAGTTAGTGTTATTTAATGTCTCTCTTGGGGGCTCCATGGTGAGCCTTTGGGGTTTTTCCTGGGAGGATCACACGGTAACACATCACAGAGGTGCCATAAATTCACAAACAGTGCAGTGCAGTATGGCTCCCATTACCTCATCGTATGATCCGGTCTATTGATCGTCCCCGCTAGAGGACACAAGAACATGCCGGCACAGAGTGGAAGATGCAGAGATAATACAGGAAAATAGCCAAGACACCTCAACACATGATAGAGTAAGTGACGCAGTGAGACAAAGGAACGAGTGAGTCTGTTCCTGCGTCTGTCTCTTCTCAGGCTAACACACACATATTGTCCCTCTTCCACATGTGGATACACACACACACACACACACACACACATACACACAGGTGCACACAGAATCCAAAGATTAGACTTCATCTGTTTTTTATACCTTTTAAAAGGTGCCCTTTATATTTTTTTCTGGGAATGTGGGTTATCTTAGTGAGCTGAGGTGCTTACAACTGCAATTCCACCATTACACATGTCAGATATATTGAGGCCAAGATAAAGACATTCAGCATTTCACCACTAGAATCTGTAGTGCAGAGGAGATTTAAAGGGGGAACCTTCGTTAGTAGAAACGTGTCATAAGACATGTACTAAAATGTGTAAAAATGAAATCTAATTAATTAAATCACTTAATATGTTATCTGTCACCTGTAATTTTATCACAGAAAAACACAGTCTTAGTGTAAAATAAATGAACAAATGTCAGACAGACACCTGTATGTGCTGCCATGTTATAGGCACTGAATCTGAACTGAGTTTGATGACTTCATCAATATCCTTTATGTGCCATATCCTTTCACTATAAGCAGTAGGTTTCTTCATTTCAATTATTCACATATGGATAACATAACAGAACTAAAATGCGGATCATGTCCGATACCAAAATAACATAATACACGGTATGTGACTGAGGCTTTAGGTATAGGCCATGATCACCATAGTCCGTCCATGTTAGACTCATAACCTCATTATTTCTAATGCTCTGGTAATGAAATGTTAATTTTAATGCAGTTGTGTAAAATCAACCCTATCCCAGCATTTATACCCATCGGAGCTCCTTTAATGCGTTTTAATTTTTGAAGAGAAATATCTACCAGCTTTAATTTAATACTTCGATATTTTTAAACATCTGCCCCAAAGCCACACCAGCTCTCACCACTTATGAACTCGATGTCACTGTAATTGCACGGCCTCACTGCTTTGTAAAATGTGAGGGCTTCCTTTCAAATTGTAGACCAAATCCTTTGGTTGTTTTGATAATTGCAGACAGTTAAATTAAGTGTGATTAAGTCAGTAGTATGTCTTTAGGTAATGACAAATGTAATCACTTTTTGGCTTCGTTACAACACCAACAGTGTGGCTTTACATCACAACTACAATCCAGGTGAATATCATACTTTTTCCACTTCCCCCGGACCTTCGTCTGATTTATTATTTGTCGACTTTCCTCCAAGATGGTAACAGCTAGTTTCCATCCCAGAATAGGAGGTATATCTCCCGACGTTAGAGATTGGCCTCAGGGGGTGCTCGTTTTTTTCCTCAACAGGAGGTTTGACCGCGGACTCACAGATGGCGTTCTTGTTCTTAAGAAGTGTTCTTCACATGACGTGTCTTGACAAGCTCCAGATTCACAGGAGCTCAGCAGCAATATTACCCTTTTTCCACATCATTAGCACCTCGGCTTGTGTGCCAACATGAGAGATCACAGAGTTATGAAAATAAATGTATACTTTTTGAAGATTACAGGCAAATACAGCATTACTATGCTAATCAATGTATGTCTGTGTCTGTCACTGTGTCTCTGTTGTCCTTGGATGACCTTGGAAGACAGGGGAATTGTCTCAAGGGAAATAAGACTTCTCTGCAGATTCGTACTGCCAAACATCACGCCGCACTCTTTTCATTGTACTTACTGTCAACTCGGATTACTGGTCTAATCCCTCACTATTTCCATTCCTGCCTTTTCTGTTTTTGAATACGTATAGATCCTCTCCAGACACATCTTAAGAGATGTAACATAGTCTGCTTTGAATCATTATTTTTGTTCAGTATGTTTTTTCCTCATAAGTGGGGTCAATAACTCCGAACTACTCAGATGCTGTTAAAAGCGCACCTAATGTCTAATGTGCAAATTTAGAGATGGCTCAGGCTTTGGGTCCCTCCCTCCACCTCTATTGGTCCAATAATACACAGTGAGCAGTTAGCATAGTAGGTTAGGAAATAAAACACACTGTTGCTAGAAGCCAAGCTGAGTCTAACCATGTACATACTGCGACTGTCATATAAAACTTTTATTGAACTGGCTGGAAAACATCCCTATCATCTCAACAGGCATAAAAATATCATGGTATCTGGAACAGTAAACTGAGCTCATTCTAACAAAGTAAGCGTGGCGTCTCCACTGAACAGAATTTTTATCCTTTGACAACTTTGGACACAAACTGTGCTCAAGAGATTTATTCACATTACAGCTCAAAGGAGTAACATCAGAAAGCTATGACCATCAAAGTTCATTGTATTTTCATGTGAGCCCAATATTATCGACTGATTTTAGCTTATCATAAACTGAAAAACCTCAACAACTAACTAGAATCTTCCACATTAACAATCTTGACATTCGTGGTGTGAAGAGGATAAATCCCAATGACTTTGGTGATGCTCTGACCTTTGTCTATCAACACCAGCAGGTCAATAATGTTCCCTTATACACTGAAATATCTCAACATATACTGGATGGATTGCCATGAAATTTTGCACAGACATTCATGGTCCTCAGAAATTGAACCCTGATGACTTTGGTGTTCCCCTGACTTTTCAGTTCATATCTGTGGTTTTAAATATGTTGCAGCAGCTTTTTGATGGATTGCCGTGAAATTTCCTTCAGACATTAACTCCTAAAAATCATAACTTTGGTGATCCCTTAACTTTTCCTTTAGTGGCATCAGAAGTTCAATGTTTTGATTTATCCAATACTTTAGTTTATGACCAAATACCTTCAGAACTAGTGGCATTAGTCATTAACCTCAGCTGTACTTTGTGTTTGCATGCTTTTATCCAGAACTTAGATCGCAAGAACTTGGCAAACATTATACCTGCTAAACATCAGCATGTTAGCATTAATTATTAGTCATTCTGAGCATGTGAGCATGTTGACATTATCGTTTCCTCAGTACAGCTTGACTCTTCTCCTGTTTAGTAATCTGGAGGTCTTACATTTCCACATTGCCTTTATGGATACATTTTGATGTATAAAGCCATTTATGAAGTCACAAATCACTTGCTAAGATTAATATTTCTCGGAGGTACAGAGAAGCTCTTCCCCTGCAGGTGAGGAATGTTAAAACTGTCCTCTGTTGACAAACTGTAGGTACTTTACATCAGTTTGTATAGTAAATGTCCAAGGGAAGGTAACCAACAGAAGGAAACATTTCGGGTCGAAGGGGTCTTGGAATAACTCACAGTGACTTTGAAGGGCATTGTGTTGGTTTCTGTGGCAACAATGTGCAGTAACAATTTACTCTCACTTCACTGCCACAACTGTCTAACAATAAAATGTCTCTGTCTGGATATTGCCTCTGTAAACAGTGCTGTCCATCACCTTAAGCCCAATCTTGACATGTATACATTAACATAAACAGGAATTAAAAGGGAATGTTTTTACCCAAACCCCAATCACAAAGCCCACATTTGGCTTCTATCATCTGTTTGTACTGGGTGATTTATGTGGATATGAGTTTATGTGAGAGTCGTGAAAATAAGATTTTCCGTTTGTCCGACTTGTTGTTCTTCCCATTATCCTACATATGCTCTTGCATTGTCATGTTTTCATATATTACCTGCTATTTCAAGAAACAAAATGCAATAACTCCTCTGTCTGTCTTCACAGGGAGAGCGAGGCTTGGAGGGGCCACGGGGGCCCAGAGGACAGCCGGGTGCTGGAATCAAAGGAGACAAGGTAGAGCACAGACAGGCTGTAAATAAGTCTCCTGGCTCAAATGCCTTTACACAGGCATAAAGATAAAGCCAGAGTCTTGTTGCGAAGAAGGCCAAGAGTTGGCAGAGCCACCGATGAATGCATTCAGCATGGTGGTATATAGGAGGTCACCATCTACACGCGATGAATCAAGGTTCAAACTAGTGTAGGAGGAGTGCAGCTTCACAGTTTTGGCCTGATGAATGTGGGAAAGCTAGCTCTGCACTGGTACAGTCATACAATTACATAAAGGTATTCTCTCTACCTTTCAGGATGTGTTTGCAGGTCCCTGCAGCCATCTGGCAATTTTTTAGCTCACAGACACTGATGGGATGACTAGGAAGACTTTGAGTTGATTTAAAATGTGTTTTAAAGTTACATAATTCATCTTGTGTTACTGCAATATGACGTTAACGTTTAGAAATGAATGAAACTGCTTCCACATAGGTCTTCAAAACCATAAAGATTTTTACGCAGGAGTCCTTAGCAGTGATTGTACTGACAGCTTTACTGTAGCCTTGTGGTAAAGTTCATCATAGATAATTGTAGTGTTTTCATGTAGTAATGACAAACCAGGGCCTACAGGGTTTTCTGTGCGTTAACATAGTCCATTCATGTTTTTCATGTTACAGATGAAAAGACACAAGATGTGTATTTAACTGCATGAATGTACTCATGCAATGTAATTCACAGTACATATCCATTACTGAGCCAAAACGAAATGCACGGGATCTCAGTGAAGAATCTTTTACAGTTGGGTGCTTTCAACATGCAATAAATCATGAAGTGCACTGTGTGATGCACTGTAATGCTATCAACACTTTTATCATCATTAACCTCCATTCTTATCTGTACCTGTAGGGGGATTTTGGCCCTCCAGGTCTTCCAGGGCCCCTCGGTCTCCCAGGAGTTGGCATACAGGGCGAGAAGGCAAGTATTTGATAAAATGACTCAGACTGTCATACTATTACAGTTTTACATGTTATTCCTTATGGTAAATTCCATAACAGTGTTTCTGACTGTACAAGAATGATTGGGTTAGGTAGGGGGGCTAAACCTTACACATAGCAAGACCCTCCTTTTTGATAATATATAATATAATATAACAGTGTTAAATGGCTACAACTACATTAATGGATACTAAACAAAGCAAAGCATGAAGATGGTGTACTCCGCCTTAAGCCTTAATATCTAAATGGAACAATAAGATATGGTGAAATTGGAAAATGTCAATTTGTTATGGCAACCAAAACACAACCTCTGACCACTGCTTTGGTCCAGACATGTAATCACTTGGGTGACCCCTTAACATTTCATCTGGAGCCATCAGCAGGTCTAAATTGTAATCTGTGCAATACTTTGGTTTATGACCAAATACCTGCAAAACCAATGACATTCCCATTAGCATCAACTGTGCTTTGTATTAAGTGCTTGTTAGGTAATGTTAACATGTTCCACCTAAAATGGTGACCACAGTAAGTATTATATCTAATAAATATCAGCATGTTAGCATGCTGACGTCGAATTGCTATATCTCAGTACAGCCTTAAAGAGCTGCAGAATCTTGTTGAAAAAAGAGGTTATTGTTGCTATTTAATGAATGAACTGTGAAGAGACACCAGCTATGTGGACTTGAGCACCATAATGTTTTTAGCTTCACCCCTGGGCTCCAGATAACACAAAAAAGATTAATTAGATAGGATGATGTAGCCCCTGTATAAGGTCAGTCTGACTGATTGTCTGTCATAATTAAAGCAACATGTTGCATAAGTTGCAAACTGTTCATGTTTTGGAGCAACAGCTGGAGACTCAGAGGAGACTGTTTCCTGCTGACAGCTGAGCCAAAGATCACTTCCCTGATATCCAAACACAAGTTAATTACTGTCGGAATATGGTTATAGTCCACTGCTCACTGACATGCTGAAGAGACGGAAACAGGTGTGTGTGCCTCTCACACTGCACTACAAGTAAGCCCTATTAATGCACAGATGATTTTGTTTAAAGCACAAGGTGATGTGTTTGAGCCAAACTTTAAATGCCAGTTACAGTTCAGCTGACTGTGAAAGAACGAATGATAAAGTGTTTGTGTCTGCAATTTTTTTTTATTTCACTTCATTTATTCAGTAAATAGAACAAAAGGCAGGTGAATCTCAATCGAGAAGTGAATCTGTTTCCCTGTGTTCAGGTTTACAGTATTAATCATCAGTCCAAAAACACAAGGAAATGACTCAAACTAGAGTGTACAGGCTGTGGCATTACTACCACGTTGGCAAACTGAACAATCTGGAGGATAGAGCCGGAGTTTTACACTGCAGGAGCTTGATGATTGGATGAGTCGCGAGAGTGAAGACGTATCTGCCAGAGCAAATTAAACATCATAAGCTCGGCAGATTCGTCTAGTTCCCAGGCTAGAGTGCCTCGATGTGTGAAGAGTGATGTGTGTATAAAGCCTATTGTGGTTTGGGAGGAAGCTATTTGAAGTATGATTAATCTCCTCAAGTGATGTCAGTTGAGTTGTTGGGTGTGAAGACTACATGTTTGAAAACAATCTGGAGGTGTCCAGTGAGAAATGAGTGAGATTACCAGATTTATTACACAGGTATTGTGTTAAGTAATTGTATTACTGCATCTGTTTATCCTTGCAGGGCATGGAAGGACCAAGGGGGCCACCAGGGAGCAGGGGCCCACAAGGAGAGGGCATGCCTGGTTCCAAGGTTTGTTCATACACTCTCAATGCCATCAAGGCCAACAGTTTTAGTTTTAATTCTATAAAGGTCTCAGTCATCAAAGCTACACTCCTTCGCAAAACGTTAGCAACATTGTATAGTCAGAGAATAAGTTGAAGTCATGTTGTCTTGTCTCATGCAGGGAGACCAAGGTTTGCCGGGTGAGGTTGGCGCCCCAGGAGAGAGAGGGGCTGGAGACCCTGGAGCTAAGGTGAGTCAAAACTTACATCAGCAGTAACCATCTATGTTCTTTAATTTTCCAATCCATAAACTGAAACAGATCCATGAATCTGTCCCCAGGGTGAGCCAGGATCGACAGGACTGTCTGGTTTGCCCGGCCTGCCAGGGGAGGACGGGGCTCCTGGACAGAAGGTAGTTTGACTGACCACCTACTGTATCTACATGTGTCTGTTTGCGCTAATATAAAAAGTGTGTTTGTGTCTTTAGGGTGAGCCAGGAGCTATAGGTCTCAGGGGAACAGAGGGGGCACCTGGAATTGGCACCCAGGGTGAAAAGGTAAAAACATTGACATGACATTTCATACTCTTTTTTTTTGCATGTCTTGCTAAAACTTTAGCAAGTGCTGACTTGAGACAAAATCACTAAAGTCACAGCTAACAGATTAGTAACTGTATTCTCAATGTGATCCTTAAGGGCGACCAAGGCCAAAGAGGAATAAGGGGCTTGACTGGTCCACCTGGAATTGCTGGACCCTCAGGACCAAAGGTGAGGCGCAATTAAGCCATTATTAGCTGTTAAATAATGAAATATTTTTTTAATTGAGTCCTGGATTTGGAAGTGTGTGAATGGTGAAGTTAAAGATTTTAACTCTGCTTGCTTTCATCTTCATCAGGGAGAACCAGGGGCACAAGGCAGGCTGGGCATGCCTGGCCCACCAGGCCGTTTTGTCGAAGGTCCCAAGGTAACTATTCCTACTCTAGTGACTTCAGAAAACTGTGCATTATGTGTATCTTTTAAGTCTAGTAAATGTGTTGAATGCGTTTACCTCCTAAAACATTCACTGTCTTTGCGGTTGCACTTCGAGACTTATTTGCGGGTTATTGCCACCACTGTCAGCCACTATCAGTGGAATAGTGTGAAACAGGCAGCAGGAGTTATGTGTTTCCTTGTGTGAGTGCACGATATAAAACGTACCATAATGTAAAAACACTGCATTTCAAGTAGAAGTCTTGCATTCAAAATGTACGACTCAACAAGCATCAGAGAGCAAGAGCAGCAGCGGCCACACTAAAGACAGACAAAAAGCAGTGGAGAGAGAAATATAACCATGTCACTACGTTTTTATAGAGTCCCGACTTCACACTCTGCGTGTTGCCCAAAGGTAGACGTCAAGAATCGTACTGAGCACAGGAAAATAATGCATGCAGAGGGCAGGATCTCTGCATATATAGACACCGCCACATGCTTCTAGTAAGTCATAAGCATGTGTAAATCAATCGTGACATCAGCCATTGGTTTGTGCCATTTTTAAGGCCTCAAGTTTGGCATTATGTCCATCACTATGACGGTTTTTCGGAGCCAGTGGCAATGACGTATTGCGGGTTGAGCTGCGCTCATTGGCTGCACATAGTTTTGAGTCATCCATAGCAGCAAACGGTGGATACACACTCTTGTATTACAGAAAAACGGTATGCTAAAATATGTTTCTAAAAAGATTAAACTAGAAATAGGCAACGCAATAAGAGAATCTTGTTTCATATTTGATAGTTTGACAGTTTGATCTCAGTTTTGTGAGTTGCACTGGACGGACTCACTGTCAATCAAAAGGTAGCTACACCCGAAAGCATACCTTGCTTTATCTTCTATTTTACTCGAAATTGAACCATAATTTACTAAATGAACATCATGCTGTATGGAAGAAGACTGGAGATCAGAGATTGAGACCATAAACTCATTAGAAAACTGTTTATGGAGCCAATAAATCAAATGAGAAGTAGGGTAATTTCCCCATAAGAGTCCATACTATCTGACTTTTTATTTGCAGCTGCCCCCAGAAAGAATGCATGTTCAGGATGTATGATATATGTCGTGACTGTGTTATGACAATATAGAGCTAATTAGTGCTGACATGTGTTCTAGGGTGATATTGGCCCAAGTGGTCCTCCTGGTCCAATTGGGGAGACTGGCTACGGACTTCCTGGTCCAAAGGTAACACTCACTAAACCTTTGTTCTAAAACACAACGTGTTTAACTCTTGTCTGACTCATGTCTTGGATGTCTGCCAGCCGACACACATTTGAAGTCAGATTTTGCAAGCAGGTTGTCACAGCTGAACAGCCCAATGAAAGTAATGAGAGGCAGATCTTGAGGATGTCAACCATGAGGACCGTTTCCCAGCATCCAGCAAGATCAGAGAAGATGTCGAAAAATTTCAGAGGATACACAAATCTGCATATCTGTCCTTGCTCCAACATTTGTTCAAACTCCTAGTTCATAAAATGCTACAACATGTTGTATAGTTTTAACCTTGCCTTGTCTTGATGTGTTGCACAGTACAGAAGCACGCAGAGGAGCAGAAAGCACATGTGTCCATTTACATCCACATTCCAATACAGTTTCCTTTGAACATCCTTCTGTAAATCACGTTGTGTCCTTTGCGTGAATGAATTATTGACTTTTAACGTAATTGTCGATTGCAGGGTGACCGCGGAGATCGAGGCTCTGCAGGTCCATTCGGTCCCAAAGGAGACGGCTATCCCGGCCCCACGGTGAGGATCTGATTTAGATACTGACATGCCCATCTGTCCGTTCATAAATCTGTATATTCATACACATTACATTAAGTCATCGATCCGTCAGTCTTTTGTCTTCCTTATTCTACACATCAGTTCCAGCCATATATCCATCAATGAGACATTTATTACGAAACGTTACAATAGGTCTGGTCCTTATTTATCTCCTGGATATATTTTCCTAAATTAAGACCATAGCTAGGGAGACATCATATGGGAATTGGGCAAAAACCGATGAAAGGAATAACATTTTCTAGTAGTTTCCTGGATCTCCACCAGTTTTCTAACAAAATGTCAAACTATTCTTTCATTAATTTCACTATCTCTAATAGTGTAATTGTACCTCCATGTCCTGTGTTGTTTAGGGTCCTCCTGGTCTGCCTGGACTTCCAGGCGAACCCGGCCTTGAGGGAGTTGGCGTCCCTGGACCTAAGGTGAGAACTTGGATCTGTTAGACAAACCTGTGTGCTTTATAAGATTACTTGTTTCCAATTAACACCAACTAAATAATTTTCTTATAGTTTATAGCATTAGAAATATAATACCAGGGCGCCTGGTTAGCTCAGTGGGTAGAGCTGGCGACCCATGTACCGAGGCTGAGTGCTCCAGCGGCCCAGGGTTCGAATCCGACCTGCGGCCC